CCGGGCCCGGCCGCGCCAACGCCCTGGGCCGCGACCTCAACCGCAGCTTCCCCGACCAGTTCGCCCCCGGCCCGCCCGACCTGCGCCCCGTGCCCGAGGTGCGCGCCCTCATGGCCTGGATGCGCAGCAACAAGTAAGAGCCGCGGGCGCGCCCGCGACCGCTACGGCGTGTCGTCTGCGTCACCCGTGACATCGATGACGTCCGTCATCCGTGTCTGTACCGTCCGTGACATCTGTGACGTGTCGTCTGTGTCGCCCGTGACATGGATGACATCTGTGTCTATACCGTCTCTGACACGTCGTCTGTCGCTTGTCGTTTCTGACATCTGTGACGTGTCATCTGTGTCATCCGTGACCTGTTTGTGACATGGATGACGTCTGTCGTCCGTGTCGTCCATCAGGACGTGGTAACCCTGTGGAGGGGGTTGGTGTCGCCCCAGCTACTTGACTCCAGCCCCCTTTTATCTCGAGTGTCTTTGGTTTTTTGGGCGCAGCGCGTGCCTGCCTGCGATGCCGCCGGCTAGCACGTGTGTCGCGGCCCCGCGGGTTCCACCTGGCTTCCCCCGGCACGTCTGAACGGAGGGCGGATAGCGGTCTGGGCGCGTGCGAGCGGAGGGGGGAGTTGGCAGCCGCCTGCGGGTGCTGGGGTTGGAGGGAGCCGGGCTGTTCTCGGCGGGGGCAGGTGGCGGAAGGAGCAGGGAGGGACGGTGAAGTTGGATATTAGGAAAATATTATGGTGAGATATTAACAGGTTGCACGGAGCAGTGGTGCAGTGTCCATCCTCGGAGGTGTTTAGGACCCGTACAGGCAAAGCCCTGGCTGGGATGACGGAGTTGGGGCTGGTCCTGCTTGGAGCAGGGGTTGCACTAGATGAGACCTCCTGAGCTCCCTTCCGCCCTCCTTGTCTATGACGGCGTCCCGGTTGTGTATGGCACCGTGCACACCTCGCGTGCACCAGACGTGGGTAGTTGGGGATGATGCAGTCGGGGCTGGTCCTGTTCGGAGCAGGGGCTGGACTGGATGTGACCTCCTGGGGTCCCTTCCCACCCGCATTGCCTGTGATTGTATGAACAGGGGCTGCAGGGACTCGGGAGTCGCACGCCGCTTGCTCCGTGTAGCCAGCCAGGCACAAGTTTAATTAAAGGCGAAACTGGTGTTTCGTTGGGGGTCCGTCTGTGACCCCTGCCGAGGATCAGGAGCTCCCTCCGGGGTTAGCTTTAGACCCGGGGCAGGAGTGTGTCTTGCCACACCTGGCTGCTCAGACCAGGGGGGCTGGGTGCTAGGTGTGAGAAGCAGTGTTTCCCAGTCCCTTCCAGGCTTGAGTTGTCATGATAAATTTTCCTGTGTTTGTCACGTCTGCTGTGGCAGAGAAATGGTGGGCCAGGCTGCTCCAGAGTCGTAGACAACGATGGCTGGAAGGGCCCTCGGGAGGTCACACATAGTCCACCCCCTGCTCCAAGCGGGACCAGCCCCAACTACATCACCCCGGCCAAAACCAGACTGAACTTGCTGAGGACAAACCTGGAGAGGATTGCAGAGTGGTTACCCCTGAGCAGCATCGACGGAGCCAGCACGTCCACATGGGACAGGGGTGCACGGAGTCATGCCAGCAGTTTTGGCGTTCGTTAGACTTTATTCATGAGAGCAGCTTGAGCAGACCTGACCCGAGGGACTGCAGCAAAGTGCGTCCGTCTTCAAAGAACTCTTCAGGGGGTGGTTGGATAAAGGCTGTCAGTTGGAAGCAACTGCAGTTAAACGCCAGCGGGCACCTAAATGGGCAAGAGCAGAATTGCCTTGTGAAGAATTTGAGGTGTAACTGGCTTTGCGTGTGGCCACCGGCTGGTGCTCTAACTGCAGAAGAGTCACTGGCTGTGTTGGTGACGCGGCTCTCGATCGGGCCGACTTCCCTGACGGGGCTGGGACAGGACTCTCTAGGTCCGAGCCTGCGCTGTTATCTTGCAGAGGGAAATCCTGTGGGTTCAAAACGCCGTTTAACCATCCATTAAGAGAGGCGACGTTTGCACAAAACCTCATCAAAAAGCAGCTTGGTGCCAGATCTGGATGGGAACAATGCAGCCCTTTGTGCTTTCCTCTGCCCGGCAGTGGTGGTTAATGCTATTATTATTGCTGTACTAATTTAATCGCTGGTACGGAGCGAGTGAGTAAACAAAACGGTTTGTTTCAGAAATCCTGCGGGGCTGGAATGCCGTTCCCCGGCTCGGCCAGCCTCCCTATAACGTGCTAGATGGAGCGAAGGGGGCGATCGGGCCGGCTCTGCTGGTACGTGACAAGTGCCGATTGAAGCAAGCAAACCTGAGTTCTCCTCCTCTCCAAATCCACAAAGAGAGTTGAAGGAGCACAGGGGCGTTGAGTGCCTCAGGTGTGTTCGGGCACCTGCGGCTGCCTGTGACCAGGCTGAAGAAAAGGTGGACGGGGTGGGGGACGGGACCTGCTGCTGTCCTAGCTTTTCTCCTAAGGTAGCAAACCGTCCGTCTGCACAACGGGTGCATCTTAAACGCGGTCTCCACAGTCTGCCCTATGTCTTGGTTTGAGCCCTGTTCAAAGCTGAGCCTACACAAAAATATGCAGCTCTGCCTTCCTGTATCATAGAGTGAAACGACACGTGTGTCCCACCTCCCGGGATGTTGAATTGGACAGTGACTAACCGGTCTGGTTTTGCAGCTTGCTGCAAAATTCTGCTGACTTCTCGTGCTCGGGTGGCGCTTGGAGCCTCTCCGCAGGGCTCCGGGCTCTGAAAACTTCCATTTTCAGGACACGTGGATGCTCCTATCGGAGCAGACGCACAATGGACTAGTGGCAGCTGCGTTAAGCTGTGGCTGCCATGGTGATGCTTCAGTCCCTAGGCAGCAGAGGCGAAAGCCTTCTCCTTTGATCTGCAGATGGCCAATCTGCGCGGGGCTCTGGAGGAGCCCTCCTTTGAACTTTATCTAGCAGCGAGCTGCAGTCCCAGCAGCCCAAGCCTCAAAGGAAGCAGGCTGCACCACAAAAGGCAAACTAATCCTTTTTGATGGAATAATAAGGCATTCCCGTACTGAACGCCCAATGGCTGCGACACCTCTGCTCGTTTGCACTGCCTGAAGCTGGTGGGGTGTGATGACTGCCTGTCCGGACCGGACCGGGGCTCTGAGTGCGCTGCTGACAGCCCTATGATACGGGTTGGGTGCGTGCCTGATGTTGTGGAAGATGTAGCAGAAGGCCTCATCTTGCCATCGTGTTTGGACAAAGGGGCGTTTGCGTCCTGTCCCAGCACGAACAGCTTTTCAGGAGCTCCCCTGTTCCTCCCCGGCGGTGAGCCCCGAGGTGCTGAAACCACTTTGGGATGGAAGGGGCTCCCTTAGTCTGGCTGGCGGGTGGGCGGTGGCGGCTCCCGCTGCCTGATGTGCGCTCCCTGGTTCTAACCAACATGTGCCTTCTCCCCAAATGCAGGTTTGTGCTTTCCGGGAATCTGCACGGAGGCTCTGTGGTGGCGAGCTACCCCTATGATGACTCTCCCACTCATCAGTCCTCTGGCGTCTACAGCAAATCGGCCGATGATGAAGTATTCAGGTACCTGGCGAAAGCCTATGCTTCACACCACCCCATCATGAAAACTGGCACCCCAAACTGCCCGGGGGAGGAAGATGAGACTTTCAAAGATGGCATCACCAACGGCGCCCATTGGTACGACGTGGAAGGTAAGCTGTTCTGTCACCACACTGAGCAGGGCTGTGCGCTAATGGCGCGTTTCATAGAAACCCTACTTTGCCCTGCTGCAGAGGCACGGGCCATCTTCGCTCCCCGTGCTTGTCAGTGAACATCAGGAACTGCAGCCGTGGCTGCTGCAGAAAGGGGATGGGAGGAGAGGAAGGGGTTTTCAGTTTTTAGCATAGCTTTTGGGAAGCAAAGCAGCACGGTGTAATAGGGGAGCAGGTGCTCAGTGAATTATACTTTGAGACCCGTTGTGTGAATTTTGTTGCAGTAAAAGGGCCCGGAGGGGGGCGGCTGTTAGCCTGACCCTGTTTACCATCATGTGGTTCCCCAATGTTTGGGGCTGAGAATAGAGACCTTGGCCTGTTGTGAGTGCCACAGTATGGAGCTGAGACTGGTTGCTTTGGACAGATGAGGCTTTGCACTTGCACGGAAGATTACAAAGCTTACTGCAGCTTT